CTCCACACGTTCTTCTTGCACGAAAGCGGGGAATGCAGTAGACAGCAAGTCCGTCGCTGTCAAATCATGAAGCAAATCTTTCAACCGCGAACTCATGTCTGAAGACAGTGCATGGTGCATTGTTTTGCCTTGGCTCCAATCTTCAAAGCTCTTTGAACCTTTGGACTTGTTCATCATTGCGTGTGAAACCCAAATGGTCAGTCATGAATGGGATCTGAGGCATCACATGTTGCTCCCATCTTGTAGTATTGCATGAATCGATATGCAAGTCGGGTCATCTGACTCGGCATGCATCTCAAACCCGTGGAGCAATCTTGCATGTCCTAAAGGGATCTCATTTCCTGAGTACCCAATAGCAACCGCAATGAAATCATGCGGGGCGAAAATCGCCTGCCAGTCAATTCCTCCCGGCATACCTTCAAAGTTGCAACAGTCACAGCCGGCATTCATGACGTCGAGGCCCGTCTCCTCTGGTGCAATTGCAACGAATGCATCCGTGAGGTCTGCTTCTGGCGATTTGTTTGTTGATGGCAGTTCAAAATCATCTTCTTTGTCAATTGGTGATTCCACAACATCCGAATCACTCGGGTCCAATTCAATGGTACCCACGAATGCGAAAGGTTCGAAACATGCGAGTCTCGCAGAATGGCTTCGTTCTGCAAGCGTTCAACATGCATTTTGGAAGGAAGTCTCGCGCAACATGCGCGGTTGAGAGATAGCGGACGCACGAAATGTTGTGTTTTTCAAGACAAAGGGTGGCTCCAAACCTGGCAAGTCAAGCTCTGCGGAACGACGTTTGCGGGATGGTCTCGCGTCATGCTCGGATCATGCTCGGATCATGTTCGAATCGTCCCTCCATTGTAACTAGAGTTTTCACATGTTTCTTGTGTGCGTGCTGTTGATGGAATTCCTTTGCGTTTTGCAACTCCTGGATGGTTTCCGCACTGTAAATGTGACTGCAAGTATTGCTGGTGGATGAGTTGCCGCTGGAATTTCATTGTGTTTTGCAATTCAGGATCGACTTCGGTGCGTTGCTGTGAACCACCGATGAAAAGCAAAAGAAGAAGCCACTGCGTGCACAGTGCCACTGTGTGCACAGTGCCAGAGCGAGTACGCCGTTGTGGGCTGCTTGCGCGACGCCGTCGTTGCGGGCCCGTAAAAAAGGGGGTCCGCAGGGCGTGTGCGAAGGGACACTCCATGACACTCCTATAGGTCAAACTGTTCTTATAGGAAACTTCGCCGCCGGCTTGCCCGGGAACTGCTTGTACCATGACGTTCCATGAGGATGTCACGAAGATCATCTTGCATCATGACAGGAGGCCTCAAAAGGAAGGTTGGCTGACTCTTCTCACGTTGCCCAACTCGAACAGCCCGAACAGGGCCAGATTGTGAATCCCCCGAGTTACCCTCTGGACTTGGTCTTTGACCCATATCATTGGCTTGGTTTGGAACAGTGGTCGTGCTTTCGGCCTCTGGTGTTTCGACGTGTGTTTCTTCTGGACTTTTTGGATTCGGTTCGGGGCCTGGCGTCTCTCTTCCGGCGAACACCAAAATGAGACTCGCCTGTCCACGCACTGCCTTCCAAGTGCATGTTCTGCTCAGCTGGTTTGGACAAAGGATGATGCACGAAATGTTCGTTTGCGTCGGACCTCTTTGTCAATCTCATGTCATCAAATTGGAACCCTCGAACGATTGGATCGCTTGCTGAAGGCCAGGAAGTCGTTGTTCTCTCTTGACAGTGCACTCGGACTAGCGTGTCTCCACGCCATAGCCAGAAATCATCGTCAGGCTTTTGACTAGCAGTCGAGGACGCTTGCAACTGCTCAGGCCCTTCCTGCTGAGTCAAATCAACATACTGGGAACCGAGCTCCTTTGGATTGGCTTGGGCAATGAGCGCACTGAGACCTAAGAGTTCCCTACCCTCAGTGTGGGGCCAGCAAACGTTCTTCGGATGCGACATGTCGAAGATGTTCGGGAGCAACTTTGAACATGTTGCGGCGATGATGGACCATGAAAATCCTACCTATTCGACCCAGGACGACTGCAGTACCGAACCGCTTGTCACCTACAACACTCATATTTCTGAGAATGCCAGTAGGCTACATAATCTCTTGGCAAAAACTCTCGTTCTACTCTAGGCCTGGCATTCAGGGCTGAGCGAAGACTTTGATCATCCTGAGCCATGACTATAGTGCTGCTCGGGCATTCGGATGGACTGTGATCGAGCAGCCTGGTCATCATGCAGTGCTTGCGTTCCGGCAACAGGACATGGTTGATCTTGGATCAAATAAGCTGGCACTCTGGGATTTCGAACGAAGGCCAGTTGACAAGGAGACAAACCCTTTTTGGTTTATCAGCTCATTTTTTGCATTCATGGTTTGCAAGACACATTGTTCATAATCTTGTTGATTCTTAGGTTGCGCTTGGTCCAAAACCTTGGTGAGAAAGACTTCGAACAAATGGCCATGCCTCTCAACCTTTCCTAGTTGGTTATGAGCTTCGGCTGCAGTGGAAATGACCCTGGTTCCTTCTCGTTCTAATTGATGAAACACAGTCTCGGCAGTGTTTGTCCTGGCTGGGTAAACAACCACCTCCACACGAACGCCCGCCCATTGCTGCCAACCACGCTGGTAGCCGCTGGTACAGAGTTTTCAACACATCAGCGGTTTCTTGTGCGAAAAAGGGAATAACCACTTTGAAGGAAGAAGCAAAATCAATCACGTTCATGCTTTTGATCTTTTGTCCCTGCTTCATTCCCGGCAAAATCTTCACGTCCCATCCGACGCGTTGGTGGAACTCTGAAGCATGATTTGGGGCAGCTGGAAGACCGGAGTTGGCTTCTTCCGTTGGCAGCAAATGTCACGCGAGGCCTCGATGTCTGCAGCAAGACGGATCGCCTGCTCTGCCTCCAGCATTTTTCAAGATGCGTACAAGGTCTTGACTGGAGGGGTGGCCCACGTTAGCGTGCGCACGCTTCAACAGGGTTTTGATTTTTGTGGACTCAGTCTGAGAGCTCACGGCCAAAATTTCGTTTTTGCTGCGCCCTACAGGTATCACCGGCGGTTCGGCCTCAGAGCATGGTTCACTGTTCTGTTCCTGCAAGGCGGCAACATAAACCCTTTTCTGGGCAAACGCGCTGTAACCAAGTCTCAACAAAACCTATCTCCTAAACAGTGACCGGCAATCAGGCGATGCTCTGAGTGGCCTGGACAAGTGGCGGCCAGGTCCAGACACGGCTAGTCCAGTCGGCTTGCGCACAGGAAGGCCGCTGTCAGGATCTTTGAGCTCATAGGCGCAGGCAGAGGTGGAGTTGCTTGGATCGAAGCAGCTTCTGCAGTGGAGGAGACTCCCGCAAATCACTGCTCCATGGATGTTCCAGCAAAACACGACCTCCTCGTTTGAGTTGATTTTGATTTGCTCCACACAAAACTGGGCTTGTTTCTCAGCATGTCTCTTGTTTGCCAACTGTTGCACCATGGGTAGTTGGTGGCGATTGACCACCCCAATGCTTGCATTCTGGACTGCACACCAGGAGTTCTGGTTTGGCTTCATCAAGCTGAGCACTCACTTCTGCCTGCTGTTTGGGCATTGTCAAATCCCAGTCTTTTTTTGATGTCATAACTGAGGCCTGGTCGACCCCACTCTTGTGCCTTGGCTGCAAAGCGTGGTGGTGAGAAGAGCTCAGCCACAGTGCATGAACTTTGGTTTTTCGTCCATGCCTCGCTTTGGGCTAAGAGGCATCGTTGTTCTCGCTGGCTCATGGTGTTCCAGCGTTCCGGTTGACTTGTCCAAGCAGCCATGGTCTCACTTTCCTAGGCCTGAGGTTGAAAACTTCCTTCAGGCAGTCTGCTAGCCAGTCCTGTTTGGGCTGATTGGAAAACGCTCGTCCAGGGCTGCCCAAATGTACTTGTCTCCATTTTCTTCTTTCAACTTCTCTAAAAACAGGTGTTCGACCGACTTGAGTGCAACACCGTCGAGGAGGCAGAAAACAAAGGCACCTTGCTGCACGGCGGTCATGTCCTGTGTGGATGCCATGCGAGCTTCAACCCACAACTTCCAGCGGCGATATTCACGAGGATCGAGGTTCTCCCCACTGAGCCGCCGGTTGTTTCCAAACCCAGTCGACGTGTCTGAGGCCAGGGCGACAGCAACAAGTGGACACTGCTGTCAGTCTCCGGACGTACCACGTCAGACTACCCCGGATGCCCTGCCTTTGGCAGGGCTCCGCTACCAATTAGAAAACACGGGCCCCTTGGCCCCCAGACGCTCCTGCGTCCACCCAGGTGGCGGCTCGCACCTGTTTTCTCCTGAACATGAGTCGCGGCATGGACACTGCTTTCACACATGTATACACAAACAAGCACCCTCGCCCAGTACAAATATGTACAAAATGTAATGTGAGCGTCCGCCAAAGTTAGTCAATGGTGGTGCAAAGCTTCTTTGGGGCGAGTTCCGCGCAAAACGCACTCACGGATGAACATGCTTTCAGGATGGGGTGACTTGCAGCTTTTGACAAAACTCTTCGGCATCGCAACAGCTCTTCCACTGCCTTCGACTGCCATATGTCCTGGGCGGTCTGGTGAGTCCAGAAGACTCCACATGCAAAGAGCTTAGAGCGTTTGCTTTTCACTCCATGCCCAGCCACAATTCTTTGTCACTTGGCATCGCTCCGATCTATTTTTTCCCGACCACTGCTGGTATATAAGGTCAAAACATTGTGAAACCCGATCATATCTGCTAGGCTTTGTGGAAAAAATGCAACAACTTCAACGAACAACATAACACACGCGAAGGATTGATTCAACCAATTGATTGCAAACAAAGAATGTGAACATCAACGAGAAGCCCCAGCCACTGCCGTCGCCCGGGAAGAGGAACTGGCAAGCCCAACTCTTTCAAAGTTGAGGCAGGTGCGTACGGCTTAACGTCCAATTCATTCGAAATTAGGGCATGCGTACGGAAAAAGCCAATCAATTCACGAAGTACAGTATGTGATGTAATCAATTCACCAAGGAGGTCAGGACTTGATTTGGCAGGCGGGTGAGCCACTTGTCGTTCAGCTCAGGGTTCTTCTTCTCAGCCTGCCGTTGCTTGAGGAGGCGGTGGCGATTCTCGTAGATGGTCTTCATCACGTACGCAAACACCATCGTTCGCTGCTGCCCCTCAGAAACCTCCGCACGGCCATGCAAAACGCGCCAGTTGTTGATTGCAACCATCGAATGCTCTGGCCAATCGAATGTACATTTGAATCTGTCTTCCTCGCACAAAGAAGCCCATCTCTTGTAAGCATTCATGTATCGCTCATATGACTCAAAAGGAAGAGCCGAGACACCACGTTTGGTCTCTGACTGCACCACCTTGAGCAATTTGCCATCTTCATCCATGGTCAACACCGGGTGAGTGTGAACTAGCTCGAAACTGAATCCCTCTGCATTTGAGTCTCGGCGGTACTCACCATTCTTGGCATAGATGCTGTTTCTTGTGGCGTGAGTCATGTTGATGTGAGAGAGCATTTCAAAGTCCTTTGGATGATGCTCCCGAAGATACTCGGCCAAAGCCAAGCCGTCGCAAACTTTGGATTTCACCGAACCACGGGCTTGGTACATGAACTGCAAGTAACCAGGAGTGCCATGATACACAGAGTGATCTGTGTGCATTGAGAGCGGGTTCTTCTGGTCATAGTCAGCACCAGCTTGCTCACCACGTGCTTGTGTATGGATCACACCGAAGCGTGTCGCACGTACTGGATGCTGATTTGGCCGCCCCAGAACATTGAACATAAAGTCCTCAAGTGGCTGGCCACAATCCTTGTGCTCAAAACTTTTGGGCTTGCCCACATCTGTGATCACAGCAACACCTGGATCCATCATGGCTTCCAAGAACTTGACTTGCATGCCTTCATCTTTCAGCAATTCTTGCCCACAGAATCTTGGCATCTGCAAACTTGAATCCCAAGGCTTTCTGTTCTTGTACATGTCATCCAAAAGAGATCCAGTGCCGGGCAGCCCGGACCCGTTGAGTTTTGGTTTTGACTTCTGGTTGAGAGGACTGCCTACATAAGGCGCGAAAGCATGCAACCAAGCAGATGGGTATTCCTCCGTCACTGCATTCTCATCAAGGTGATTCTTGAAGTTCACTGAAATCATCGAGCCATTGGAAGCAGTTTGCACATTATCCACCATGTATTGATCGGTTTCAAAAACCGTTGATGCGGAATTTCTGTAGTAGTCTTTCCCTGTGAGATTTGGATGGGAATCTTTGATCCAAGCGGTGTGAAAGCCTGGCTGGCACGCTGCACAACCCAAAAAACAAGATCGAAAGTGAATCGCAAACGAGATTGTTTGTGGTGATGCTACCAGTACTAACACCCGTTTGTATTTCCGGAGTAGTCGTCAATGTAGTGTACTTGACCCGATGGTGGTCGTAGGCCTGTGATGTGCGCACGGCCGGTCATGTAGGCAATGCAAATGCAATGTGCACACCACATCTCCTTTTGCAAATGTTTGTGCACATAATCATTCCTCTTTAGTCCATCAATAAACAAGATGGAACCCACGAACTCGGGTGCGCACACGCACTCGAAAACAAAGGGCGAAACATTGTTTGACACCCTTGTGCATTCTCGTCGGACACTCTGTAGGCGGTGCTCTTGTGGGACGCTCTTGTAGGACACTCTTGTAAAAGGGACATTCTTGTGGAAGGGGCACTCTTGCTGGACAGTCTCGTAGAATACTCCTGTGGGATGCTCTTGTGGAAAACTCTGGTGCGACACTCTTGTGGGGCACTCTTGCGGGACACTTTTGTAGGAAAATCTTGTATGAGACACTCTTGTGTGACACTCTTGTAAGAAACACTCTTGTGGGACACTCTCGTGCAGAACTCTTGTGGGACACTTTCTTTTGCGGGACACTCTTGTAGAACATTAGGACGCTCTTGTGCAACTTCACGATTTCCTGCGCTTGCCACGAAGCTTGAACTTCGACACCTCCAACACGCACAAGGTATAGCGCCTGCCACGAAAAGCGAGGACGTGAGTCCTTCATGTCTTCAGCAAATTTGCGCCATGCCACAGACTTGGAATGGTTTCGACAACTTCTGAGCACACTCACACATCCACCAAAATCGCAATTTTAGCTTAGACTTTTCTCGAAAACGCGGCTTCCCAGCAACACTCTGAAACGCAAACACTGTCACAGCGACATCCAACACCTCAAACATACCACCCTCGAAACTGTCAGTGCCATGGCGACCTACTGCGAACGGTTGCGGTCGCTACGACAACGCCTCGAGAACAAGACCCTACCTTGGCGCCCCCAGACCCCAGAGTTAAACGAGGAGAGCCCTTCGCTACGCATTCGGGAAGAAGTCCCCAGAGGTCAACCGCGTGGGTAACCGCGTGAAACTTTCACTGTGGATGAGTGGTTTCCTGGTCATGGCGGCAACTTGCGCTATGATTTAAATCCGCCCGCGCCGAAGGTGCTGAGGCGTTGTGTCGGCTCGGGTAGACTGGAAGATCAGCTGCTAGATAAACAGCTTAAGCTTGGCTTTAGCTTGGGGAGCGGGCATTTTTGCTCTAGAATGTTGTGCTTTGAGGTTTTTCAAAGTCGAAAATTCTTGACATCGTGTGTTATGCAGCTCGAGGGAGACTGCATTACCGGGCGTCTTGTCCAACCAAAACAGACAGACTGACACAGACAGAGCGAGACAGAGTGAGACAGACAGACCGAGACAAACAGACCGAGACAGACCGACCGAAACAGACCGACCAAGACAGACAGACCGAGACAGACTATTGACATCGCGCGTGTGTGTGTGTGTGTGTCCCCTCTGGAGTCACGAGGTTCCTGCTTGAATGTTTTCGTAAATTTACAGCAGGGGGACTGCCTGGCTTGTAACAGTGGCAGTCCAACGAAGATGTCACCCAAATTTTGCTGGTAAAGTGCTAGTGAGTTCTGCAGATGTGCACAAACGCCGTCACCCTGTCGGTTCGATCGTTCGATGGTTCTTCTAGGTTTGATGGCCGCGCTGAACTTGATGGACCTCCACCTCCTTTTCAGGTTTCCTTACCTGTACTCTTAGGAAATGGTTACCTAGGCCGGCGTGTGGCAAACCGCCTTCAGTTCAGTACGCAGAATCATAAGTGTGTCTCTCCTCGTGAGAGCCCAGGGTGACCCCGCAGAGTGGCCCCTGTGGACCCGTTGAACGGGCGTTAGTCGAATGTATCCCATGCCCGGATACAAAGCAGCTCGCAGCGAGCGTAGGTGGCCAAGGCCAAAGTTATTTGCCAAGACTTGCTGAACTATTGAGTTCCAAGCTGGCTCATGCCTATACGTGACCGTAGCGGTCTAAGCAGCCAGCCATTTTGGCAGGGCACAAGGTGACCAGAGCGGTCAAAGTATTTTGAAACCTGTCGGAATCTAATCCCCTTCCTCCCCCCACCCTCTTTCTCTTCGCTCTTCGCCTGTTGGAGTGTTCCTGAATGTAATACTCAGGTCACCCCTCTCCCTGGTGTGTCCCTGGACGCTTGTTCATAGCTGGGAACACCTGTCCTCTTCCTTCTCTTTTCACTCTCTCTCTCTCTTCTCCTCCCTTTCCTTTCGCTCCTTCTTGTTTGGGTGTGCCTGGATGCTTTCGTCATAGCTGGGAACCCTTCTCCTCTCTCCTTTTCGTGTGTCCTTGGACGCTTGTGTCGTAGCTGGGAACACCTTCTTCCCCTTTTCTTTCTTCTTTTTCTCTCTCTAAACCCCCCCTCTACCTGCCGGGACCTTAGAGTGATTGAAAAGAAACGCCTCCCCTCAGGGAGGCGAACCTCGTGTTGGAAAGTTTTCCTAAATTTACAGCACAGGGGGACTGCCTGGCTGGTGACAGTGGCAGTCCAATGAAGAGGCTGTTACAAGTCACTGATATGGATTCTGCGCGCAGAATCCACGTACCTGCTTGGTTGTGGCTGTTACAAGCTGTCAGCCAAATTTTTCTGGTAAAGTGCTAGTGAGTTCTGCAGATGTGCACGAACGCCGTCATTCTGTCGGTTCGATCGTTCGCTGGTCGATGGTTCTTCTAGTTTTGATGGCCACGCTGAACTTGATGGACCTCCACCTCCTTCTCAGGTTTCCTTACCTGTACTCTTAGGAAATGGTTATTTAGGGTGTGGCAAACCGCCTTCAGTTCAGTACGCATAATCGTAATAAGTGTGTGTGTGCCCCTTGTAGTCACAGAGACCCACTCGGATTGTGAATTTGTCTTTTCCTTTCTTTTCTTCAGCAGGGGGGCGAAGCTACCTTGCATCTGGGAAGCCAGGTCTGATCAACCTGGTGTACCTGCTTGAATTTAACATGTGCCGAGATGAGTCGTAAAGTGCTAATGCATTCTGCAGTCACGCACGGATCGCCGTCACCTTGTCGCGTTTCCGCAGTTGTCGCGTTTCCGCGTTTCCTTGAGAGGTTCTTCAGTTACTACCCAACCTGAACCCTTAGGCATTCGAACCTAGGTGGGCGTGTGGCATGCATGTGGCTTTCAAGTCAGTACGCATTTCTATAAGTGTGTCTCTCCTAGTGAGAGCCCAGGGTGACCCCGAAGAGTGGCCCCTCTGGACCCGTCGAACGGGTGTTATAGTCGACCGTATCCCCTGCCCGGATACAAAGCTGCTCGTAGCGAGCGTAGGTGGCCTAGGCCGAGAGAACTCAAACTTGTCTCATTTACTGAATTCCAAGCTGGCTTATGCCTTTACGTGACCGCAGCGGTCAAGGGTGGCAGCCTTCGGGCAGGCCGTACGCGGTCGCAGCGACCAAAGCTCGCTCAAGGTTCATTGGAACCTGTCGGGACCTTTGTGTGATGAGTTCCTCCCCACCTAATCCCGTTCCACCCGCCATGCCGCTCACCCGCTGGCTTGGCGCCGATGGAGGGCATCCCTATGGTGGCTCAAGCTGTACTACATCGTGAGATTCTTCATGCGCATGCCACTTTGGACCTCATCCTCACGATTCTTCGCACCCGCTTGGCGATCCTTTCCCCTCCCTTCTTGGAGAGAGTGACCTGTCCCCACCTTCAAGTACAACTTCGTGGCTTGGATTCCGCTATTCGACAGGCGATGCAGGTCACCCACACCGCTTTTTGCAGTACACTCATGAGTTGATGATCACCTTTGGTTTGATCCACACTTTGGATTTTGACACGAATCAAACTACGTGGTTTCATATTCGTTTCGAGACCATCGCATCCCCCAACCTGTCCCCCGACCGGACACCCGTCCTTCCTCCACTCTTCGACGACAACTACCTCCACAACGGGCTACGACCTTTTCATGGCTTCCCTTCATCGCTCCGACTCAAGATCACAGCCTCGTTTGACGACCTCTACTCGGCCCCAGAGCTACCTCGGACCGTTCTCGTTCTCGTTCACGCCTGAACCCGCGCTAGTTCCCTACTGGCCCAGTGAGTCACCCCACTATTGATGAACTACCTCACACTTTGCGTGGATTGGCGTTTTGCCAACGCTGTCTTTTTTTGCCTTTCCATGTGATTCTTCGGCTCTAGCCTGTGCCTTTCACTCCTCATTTCATTTTCACGGTTCCCTTTATTCATGTTTCACGTATTCTTCTGGACCGGCCGGACTCTTCGGATTCCTCTCATCACCGCCATCGCCGTCATCACGGCCGCCCAGAGACCTCCAGATCCCGAGATCGTGCGCCAGCTGAAGCTGATGCTCCGGACTATGACGCTGATGACGCGGCCGAGACCCTTCCTGATTGCCACGGCTGCCCGCCGGCTGAGCCTACACCGCCTGCTCCGCTTACTCCATCGGCGTCGGCGACACTCCCTACTACACCGGCGGCTCCAGCATGTTTCCGTGCCTCGACCAAATCTGGCTTTTCGACCTCGCGTTCCTCCTGGACCAGCAAGCACCCCTTGGGCACCGACTTCTCGCCCCACTTTCCCTCCCACACCACCGACACACATCAACCCCAGCCACCTCGAACCCTTCCACCCCCACCTGCACGACAACCCCGCGCACCCCCCGCGTCACGTGGATCCATTCCACCGCCAGCGACCGCCCGATCTCCTCTCAGGATCACCGCCCACGTGCTCTCCCTGGACGGGATGGACGAGATGTAAGTGATGCACGCGAGAATCGTTGACGTGATTACCGCTCTCGAGAACGTGATCATCCTCGAGACTCTCGTGATCGTCGTTTACACACTTCTGAACGGGTCACCTGAGGCTGATCGCCGACAACATATCGGAGACACGCTCCTGCGAGACGGGATTGTCGTGAATCCCGGAC